CGTAACATAGTGTACCTCTTGAGATCTGTATCCAGTTTGTGATATAAGACAGTTATTCTGTTTCCAAAAGCACAGACACAAAATGCCTAATATTTCGGTGTCGGCCAGCTTTATGATAGTGGAACTGGTGGTCGAGATGTTGCTTCTTGCTGTGGATTACAGTTTCGCATGAATTGTCGTTCCACACAATTCTACCACGGGTTTCACTTTATTGAATTGCCCCAAATAACTTTACACCTGTCTTCTTTTATTAATTCGTGTTCCTCCAGTGGTGATGTTCTCTATCATTTGCTGCATATTTCTTCTTTCTCTGTATTGATGTACGTATATTTTTGGTTTTAGCCCTGTGCGTCACGTTATTTCCTGCTAGGTCGTGTCTTTTTCTGCTTAGTTCGCACGCTCGGATCAGATGCGAAGTAGATGCTTTGTCTGCCTGCCTGCCTCTCCCAGTGGACAAGTGTTACGTCCATACGGAGTTTCTGAACACGCCGAGAGATGATGGATGGGCCCATGGAGATAATTCCATGAAGTGTGATATCGGGGCAAGTTTCCAATGTATCCAGCAGAAGTTTAAGTAGGCCTGTGAAGATAAAAGAACCAGTGACATCTCCGCGATTATAAGTGGATAATGTGTTTATATCTACAGAAGTTTAGCTTCGCCTCCTTTCGAAAAATAATTGTTCCAACCGGGTGTTCAAATAATTCCCGCTAAGCACGTGATAAACTAAAATGGAGTAGGTTGAAATAGCGGCAATGAAGGTCACTGGATTCTTTATAGCTACTCGTATATATGTATGTTCATGTCAAACAAAGAGTCTATTTGAAAACAGATCTGAAGTTTGAGTTTTAATTTCAAGCGAGCACTTTCATTAAAACATCAGTAGAGTAATAAGGACTGTGTGTGAGAATGTTGGTGTGAAGTAGCGGGGCTGGAACGGGGTTCACTCGGCCTCGTGATGAAAATTGAGGAGCTATTTCAANAACTTATAAGGCAATCTAATGTTTAAAAAAGTTAAACACTGGATGAAAATTAATTTTTTATTTCATGATATCTACTATAAGAATATCAAAATGAACTAAGTCTTGCTGTGGGCTTCATTTCCATTTGCAGAAATATTACCTTCAAGAAAACAAGGATTTATTTATAAGATACTGTCACGTGTTAGTGACTAGACATAGAGTATGGATCGGTAACTGGATTTACTGAACATTTAAAAATCGTAACTTCAAGTAATTATCGCTAAGCTACATACTTTACAATTCACTACAGCAGACGGCAGTTCTTCTGTTCATCTTCAACAGACGTTGCTAGGTTACGGTTCAGTTTCCGTATTCAAAGGCTCTTGTCTTCGCTGGCTGGCGACTCTCTCACAACTGACATATGGTGGCAACAGACGGCTTCTAAGAACACTAACCCCCTTTGCGATCCGTGACGTACATACAGGTGTCATCGGCAAAGTCGGCCAGATAAACACCAGGCGTATATTCTGTACAACGGTGGAGACAGGACGGAACCTTGAGGCACCCCTGTATGCATTTTCCTTGGCGCAGACATTTCGTCTTCTGCTGAAAATCTGATTTTTTTTTGCGAAAGAAAAGAGCTAATAAGCTTGATCAGACTGGCCGAAAATTCCAATTTTGATATTAAACATAAAGTTTAAAGCCAGGGTCCCATGTAGATCAAAGGCGTTTTCGTTATTCGAGAATACTGCAGCCGTAGACATATTGTTAAAATTAAGGCTCATGTGGCCCGTAGGCTTCATAAAATGCAATACCGTACTGTGACGTGGGACTCACGTACATTTTCGACGGACTGAAAAATCCACCTCTTTCTCCTTATACAGCCTCAATACGAACTGCGTAGAAAGCACGGCTTCCAACAATTCCTGTTGTTACGAAGTTATTCGGTACCGTGGAGTCATGTTTTCAGTGTCGTTGCCTATCAGTGGATGTCTTTTCTGGGTCTGCTATTCCGGCTTTCATCCCTAGTGTCACAGTATGAGAAAAATACAGTAAATTATAAAATATGCTCTCAAAGCACGTAAATAGTTTTACCCGTGTTTTCGGAGGGTATCAGAAGGTAAGAGCATAGAATAAACGGAAGATGTATGATAAATGAACCTGCACCCTGCAACTTCGCTTACCGAGCTTCATGCACGAGTCAGCTTTTTCGAAAATATTATGCACGAGAACGTCCCTTGTGGTGCTCATCCTTCTTCTTCAAGCAGCTAGCAAGGGAAATGTACAACTGGGGCATGTTTCCAGCAGACCTAATTTATGCTCGAAAATGAGAAAAGGTGAGGGGTGAACCATCCAGGCAGGTGAACCCATCCCAGGGTCCTTTACTGTTTGGATACAAAAATGTGACGCTGTAACATGAGAGCGTCGTGGACAGAAATAGGTAAATTATATTACCATGAGCCGCTCTCTGAAGAGATCCTGGATCCACAGGGACAGTGCCACAAGCCAGGTGAATATGATGATGAATTCTGCTCAGAAACATTGGTATTGTCGTGACGGGCGAGACTGAGAGCAGGCCTCGCAGCTGCATGCATATGACAAGGTGCTGGCTGCTACCTGCATGTTTCGTTAATAACTGGGTCAGCTCATAGAGCATCTCAAAATACACACAATCAAAATTGTAATGATAATAATGCGAATGAAAATGTTCCATTCAATTGTTTATTATTTACGTGCCTAGTCAACAGCCTCAAGGCAAATTACAGACACAAAGTTGCTAGTGACAATCGAGAAATATAATGTATAGATATTTAGAACTACTACTACTACTACTACTACTACTACTACTACTACTACTACTACTACTACTACTACTACTACTACTACTACTACTACTACTACTACTACTACTACTACTACTACTACTACTACTACTACTACTACTACTACTACTACTACTACTACTACTAATAATAATAATAATAATAACGTAATTCTAGTTTATGTTTGTGCATATAATAATACTCACAATTATACCATATTATCAAAAAACGATTGAGGAGAACGTTCCTGGCTCCGACTACGTCAACGTAACTGCAAATATCAGCAGCTGCTGCACATCCAACAGAGGGACAATTTCTACATGAGGAGCAGACATTGAACAATGCAAAGTCTCTGATATACCGAGAAGGAAGTCGGAGACCAACAATTTCCAAAACAGAATGACAGAATTTGAAACAAAAGTAAACTTGAGTAAGAAACAGAGCATCGAGGCGATGTCTCCTTGTACGTGAAATATGCAATTTTAACTCCTCAAGGGCAAGAGAATAACTGTAATGGACTTGAGGAAAGAAACGAGTAAAACAGAGGGCAGCAAACCTCTGCTGGATGCGTTCCAACTGTTGGCATCAGTTGACGTAATTGAATTCCCGACTACGGACGCATTTTCAAGCTTAGATCTAACTAATGCGACGTATACTTTGAGCATACATTCTAGAGACGAGAAATTGAAAGTAATGCTACGACCTATACCCAACAGCATAACGCAGTGAGAGAAAATATAGTCGACATGGTCATGGAAATGAAGTTTAACATCAATAAACACTCCCAGGTCTTTTATGGAGTCGGTCCTAGTTATAGAGGATTGACAGAATTGATAATCTTAGATCAGTACGTTGGTTTTCCTGCAGAAACTTTAGTTTTATTGATGTTGGGATTCATACAGTTAGCAATGCACCAAACAATAATAATAACAGCAATATTCAATTCAATTCAATTCTTTATTATTTATGTGCCAAGTCAACAGCCGCAAGGCCAATTACAGACTTAGCACAGTGTAGATGAAAGTAATTACGTGTAACATTATACAAACATTAGTCAAACACATTATAAGTCAAAAATAAATTACAGGCAATTTCTTGGGTAAACACAATAATGAATAAAAGTAAACAAACAAGCAAATAAATGANTAATTAATATAAATATAATATTATAGTAATAATAATGAAAATAATTATAATAATTTCTTGGGGCAGAGTACTTCCTTAGAAATAGTCGCTCAGTTACTCAAGAATTATATGTATTTGGTACATTTTAATATTATCTTCTTACTTATGTGTATGCCTCCGAAGAAACAATACTGCCATAACTGTAATATATATGTCCGAACTTTATCTGTTTTCCTTGCTTTCTCAATAAATGCTATATGTTCCCCTTCTCACATTTCATGCATTTCTTTATTCATTCATTTTCATTCATTCATCAATGGCACTACAGCCCTTTGTTGGGCCCTGGCCTCTTCTTCGGTTTCGCAATGTTTTGTTACAAAAACGGTGGGACTCTTTGGAAGGTGGATCAGCCCGCCGCTACCCACACACAGGACATCAACACAGAATAAAGGCACACACAGGTATTCATGGCTTTGAGTGGGATTCGAAACCACTATCTCAACATTCGAGCGTGCGAATACAGTTCATGCTTTAGTCGGCGCGGCCACTGTGATCGGCCCTCCATTGTTCTCCGTCAGAATATTTACTCAGTTACACAAATTATGAAACTCTTATGCAAGTTACTTCCTTTTCGCAGGTCAGTATAATCGTCCCAAGTTATTGTCAAACTCGGTTAGCCTAGTCTCATGTGTATGGACGTATGTGTTTCCGAAAAACTGTCATCCTGCAAATTTGGAGGCTTTTTGTTAACTGGTTTTAGTGCTTTCGTGTCATAAATTCACACGACCGAAATTATATTATAATTATTCAAGACAATGATTAGCTGTCTACAGTAGCAACAGGTTCTTACAAGGTGGACAAGTTATTTTCCATTTATCGCTGTGGATGAGGAGACGGGCTGCTGCTAATACGGTTCAGGATTTCAGAACCCTGTGTACAATGACTTTCTTGAGGTACTTGGAATAGTCTCTCACATTTATACTCAAACACACTTAGTTCCTATTATAGTCTCCTAGATTAAATCCAATATAAGTCTTCGAATGTTAGAAATAATTTAAAACAACAACTCTTGTCTTTTTCTTATTTTGACAGGTAATGACATATTGTACGTGCGACTGAATACAGAGGAAATCAGAGTAAAGCTACGTCGATACGGCTGACAGCAGGACCGTCTGAATACATACCTTCTTCTAGGTAGCAGTCCGAAAATTAGAAAAAATATGCAGGTGGTTTCCTGATCTTTTCCTAACAAGTGTACTGTCTCTTTATTGTTAAAAATGCAACAAATTTGTACATACGAGAGAGAGTCAATAAATAGGTCACAAATGGAAGTACAACAGCTTAAATGGACGTAATAGGTTTCCTATATATATATATATTTCACTAGGTAACAGCACAGTCCAACTTCATTACAGTCTAGGTAGCAGAGGCGCATACGGATGTTCAGAGGCTAGTTTCAGTAGTCAAAATGGCGATCTTGCTTGAGGAGTGGGCTAAGGAATAGCAACGTTCTGTTGTGCGTTTTCTGTGGGCAAAAAGAATCAACGCAATGGACATTCATAAAGAAATGTTTTCTGTTTACGGTGGGAAGTGTTTGTCGAAGCTCTTTCTTTGTTGCATCTTGAAGAAGTTTGCACTTTTCTTTTGGGAAGCTTTGCCAGATTTGTTGCTCAGTTTGCACTACCCAGGGGACACGTATGACTTAAAGAACGTCACGGACGCGAGCAACTTTGTCCCCCTTCCGCGAAAGGTTTTCAAAAAATATTTCCGAGCGAATTGGCTACAAAATGTTCGCCCATAGGAGAAACCCCAGGTTTTAGGTAGTTTACCGAAACCTGGAATACGGTTTTTGCTGTTCCCTCATGCAGTGACGGAAATTCTCTTTCTATAAATATTGTTTCCAGTTCTCCGCCCACTGCCCATGGAAATGGCTATCGGTTTGATCCAGCAGATGGATGGGGTTTGATGCTACCTATGGACTGTACCCTCAGGAACGGTGGATGCTCATGAACCTCGAGAGCTGTCCGTCTGAAAAATCAAAGGAAAATAATTTACATATACGCCCTCTCGGAAGGCACGGAGCAGTTTCCTTATCACACGAAAATGGATCTGAATGGCGACGGGGCAAATATGCCTTCTATTTTTATTTTTCTACCGTCGGATCATAAAACACTCTAAGTAATGACTTGTACGGATGTCCCAGATATCGGAAATTTAAATTATTAATAGGTTATAACTGGTCTGGACTTCCACGAGCTTTCTTAGCACATATTTCATATGTGATTTTGGGCGTCATACCCCCCCCCCCATTGTGATTTTTGATCTCATGTTTCCACAGTAAGATCTGGTTTAAGGCCGCACCATAGCTCAAGCGGTTAATCTCTGGCTTCCCACCGCGGCGCATCTTCTGTCCGTTCCCATTAATACACACGTTCACACGTTCCTTGTCTAAACATGTGCATAGACGTATTAATTAATTGTTATGATGCGTTACTGCTTTAAGCACAGGATGCTGTTATTGCGTGTGATAACAGCTTGTTCGGTGTAGCCTCATTACCAGTGACATAGTATTAAATATCTTGCAATTTACCAAGGAAATAAATATATGAAAACCAAACACTGACAGTCAACAAAATACTGAGGTGTCAGTCTTCCTTTGAAGGTTCTGCTACTATATACCGTTACACCAATAGCGGAATATTGTGATACTGGTAAGGTCAGCGACCAATCATATGCCGGCCGAGGACTCGAAAATAATACCATCACTGATTCTCAAGACATAACCAGAGTAGTGTTGCGACGGTTATATCTACCCCTGCCATTTTCATAAATTAATGGAGTCCTGGAGTGTTTCATCTGGGACCTATCCTTCAACAACCGCTGGTGTAACTTGATCTGCGTGAGGGTTCATATCTGGAGACACTGGGCTGCAAGCTTAGTTTAGATTAAGTTTTAAGAACAAGAGAGAAGTTGAAGGGTGCATTTTGTCTGTGTTGGAGCTATGAGAAGGCTGGCCAGGCTTACGTCCGCCAGCGCTTGTATGTAATATACACACAGTCTCAATAAATCCTCTATAATCTGTAGTGAGTAATTGCTCTTTGTGGTTGGAATACACGCTCAGGCAGCCAACTGACAATCATCATCACTGAATTATTACGCTACCGCTCGGCCAACGTAATTCAGTTGACCAGCCAACATCTTGGGTCACGACAGTAGTCTCCACATTCGAAACCTTTGTATTCTAGCCGAATTTTCTGTGGCCCATGGTTTCGCCTGTTGTATGCTCTTACCTTGTGGTTCTTGCAGAGCATTGGGGAAGAAAATGCTTAGAACTGTTTACTCACAGCTCTGACATCTGCGTGGTAAATACCTGTTTTGAGGAAAAGATTGTCGATAATTTCAGAAGTAAGAGGGCAATGTTTCTTGAATTAAAATAAACCTAAATCTTCCTTCATGGTCTGTTCTCTTCTGCAGGAGGAGATGAACGGTTTGAGGAGAATATTCGGGTTTAATGGAGAAATGAAAATGTATGGAAAATAGTGCATAATTTTCGGGAACTGCGATTTCCTAAGTACGAATACTATTAGGGTACAAGAATGAATGAGAAGAGATATGATTCATGTAGCACGCGTCGAGGAGATGAGAGGTAGCTATAAAATTTGAATCGAAAATCGCGATAATGATACTACTTGGGGTATCCAGGCGTATAGGAGAATTTCAAGGAAAAGAACGTGAGGGTGTGTCCTTATTTCATTTCGTAGCCATGCCAGCTATTGTGAATATATAATTGAACTTTCGGGTTTCATAAACAGCTGTATGAAAAGTCACCATTTCATTGGCTCGGAGAATTCAAGAATAAGTGCTTTGCATGGAGTCACAAGTTACATATGGAGGAATGGACAGATGCACGTGAAAGACGAACTGAGTACGCTGTGGAACTGGTCGTGGTATACCCTTCGCACATATATCTGGAGAATTTGTTTAAAATAAGGAGAATTTCTGTCAATAGTCAGCCTCTGAGCCGGTAATAGTGGCAAAAGCCTTCCAAATACGAATTAGAATTTCAAACGTCCTAATTTCAAACTGCGCCAAATGCTTAGTTTGGATCGATACTCCCTTAACAGTTTGTGGGCTAATGGAATGTGATAAGACGTACCACCAGTCGTATAAATAGTTTAGCAGCTGTGAGTTCCGAACTGCTATAAACCCTTTACATTTCAAATTGCACTACGTCGTTTTCTTATCTCTTTCTCCATACTCCAAAGTTTCGGGTCTTCATGTTTCTAACATTAAGATTAACAGACGCACACACAATTACTAAATGAACACTTCAGACATAAGCCTATATTAATTCAAATTAGGAAGGTGTAATTTAAAGTAATCCCTGAAATAAAAGTGGTATTAATGTTCAAGTTTTGCTGGCAGTTACCTAAATTAAACCAATAGAGAACTGAGATTCATTAATTATGATATTTAAGTCATGCTTATTGGAATCGAAATTGTCTAAAGAACCAGATTCCAGAACAGCACAAGATGAAGATGCCAAGGAAATGAATAACTTATCATTAATTGCAGAATGAAGAGAACAATACTGCAATGTCTTGCTTAATTAAGAAACTCTTTAATGAGTTTATTCCATGTACAAATGAAGTTCCATGGTCCTTGTAGAAGCAGTCACGTTAGCTCAAAATGTGCGTGATAGAGCCACATGTAAGTCGCATGAACACTTCTTCCTTCACACGCAGTTAATCAGAGTTATTATCTCAATGATGACTTACACTGGGTTTCTTTCAGTCTTCTTGCTTCCCGAGTTACTTCGTAGGAGTGATATATATACGTACTATTTCAGATTCTGCGAGTTACGAGTACAGAGTTACGGAACTTGAATGGACCGATATTTGTTGGAAATTTAATTTATGTATAACGGAGTTTGGACGCTGGCCATTTAGAAACAAGTTTAGAATTCTGAACAGTTACAATTCAACGTTGAAAGTACTGCCATAAAATGTGTTTATAAATATTTCTGATATGGAATTAGAACGATCTGATATTTGTCGTCACCGATACCAAAATATTTTATTATTATTATTCTATTTCCCTCAAAATGGTGTTCGCCTGGACGCTTTTATATTTTACAAAACAATTACTATCCAAATTTGGGAACCATTCTGTGAGTAGAACTGCTGCCCTTCATTCCTGAATTTAAAGTCGAATTAGTTAAAATGCAATTAAAATAAACATTAGCAGTTGAAACACACCCAGCAGATGGACAACTGTTAACGGAAGAGCAGACCTCGAAAACATAGAAAAACGTGATATACCGAGCAGGACATCGAATTCTGTATGTGTGTGGATGTGTGAATGCAGCCCTTACTTCATAGAAAAAGACAATGCATCTGGATTAAAATGGCTAGACTGCAAACGCCGTTTCGGCAAGCAACTGCAGCCCATTCTGAGAACCGTGCGAAAAATATACACGTAAATACACCACGTGAACAGGAGTCGGGATAACTCAGTCGGTAAATATGACCTGTGGGGTGGACGGCTACGGTTCGATTCCCGCCAAAGTCAATATTTTTCTCTTCCCACAGCGTCCAGATCGGCTCTGGGACCCACCTAGCCTCATATCGAACGGGTACTGGGGGCGAATTCCTCGGGAGTAAAAGCGCCTTGGTCTTGGAAGTTGGTCACCAGCCTCCATCTCGTGCCGAGGTCAAGAATGGTAGAACTACACCTCCCCTCCCACAAGTCTTCATGGTGTAACAATTAATTCAGCACCAGGACAAATTACCTCAATAATACAAGCCACGTACGGCTTATTTAGATTTACTGTGTATCTTAGAAATGTTCTTACAGTGCGGGATATGCACGTATTTGACAAAACTAACTTCATTTGGGAAGCAGTTGTACCCAAGATGATAACGAAAATTCTCGCGTAATTCGCTACGCAGAATGTGACTGCCGTGTTCACAACAACAGCCCAATGAACATCCTCTCCACTACCTAATACACTACTGCTCTAAGATCCATTTTGATAATACTGTGGCATATAAATCCATTGCTAGACAACGACTCGGCAAACATATTTCCGCGGAAGCGTTCTCGTGCAACAATAGGACGTCCATTGCTAGGCAAACGGATCAGTGAACACGCCTAGAACAATAAGGGACAATAGAAAACGGTACTTTCTGTGGGATCCGCCCGAAGGCTATATAACGGGAAGCTCCAAGTGAGCAGTTAGTTGTTTTCAGAAGTTGAGAGACTTCACTTGAAGAAGGGTTCAATTGAGTCAGTTGTTGTCAAGAAATGAG